GAAACTGGTTATACCCGGCCGCGCAGCGACGGGCATTTACGCACACACCCTTTGGCGACAACCCCGGCGCAGAGCCCGACGCGAAATACACCGATGGTGCGGTTAAAGCGTCGCGAAAAAACGCGGGGGTACAATTAAGCGAGCGCAGAAACCGAGCGAGGCGCAAGCGAGCCACGGTAAATCGCAATTATCGCGATCCGCGCGACGATTATACCTCTTTACGATTATCGCGCGCCATAAATCGCGCGGTGCTTGGTTACACTGTTGGCTGTATTGTCAGCGCGGCGTTCAATACGCGTCGTTTAATTTACGCGCGGCGTACGAGCATCTCGGAATTGCCGGCGAAAAGAAAGATCGTTATTTCTCGTTGTCACGTAGCGAAACTCGTTTAGCCCGCGAGAACGAGAAAGAGAGAGAGAGAGAGAGAGATCGTTCGCGACTACCTTCTCGCGAGATTCTCTCGGGGAAAACCCTTGAGTCATTCGTAGCGAGCTGTGCTTCACATCGAATCGATGTTAACACGAACGATGACACGAACTGTCCGCGGTATTGCACAAGCGGTACTTTCAAAGCCTCGGTGAACTTACCCCCTCCCTTTTTTTCTCCCGATTATCCGCACGACAATGAAGCTCCTCGTTAATTCATACGTGTTAATGAGACGAGTCCGAAGTCAAATTCCGTTTGTTCGACACGTTTGGAGAAACGACGTGAACCTGCAACAGCATCCGACATTTCTGTCGACAGAAAGGAGATCGACCCCGCCCCGATGTCAGAAAGCAGACTCGAAATCAGTTAAATAAGTAGGCGATATTAATTAATGTTATCAAGTCGTTCTTTCGACGAATGTGACGAAAAGAAGGGAAAAAAGAAATGAGCGACCGGCTGTGCCTCCGGTTCCGAATCGAAACGAGCGCAAACAGCGCGTTCTTTCCTTGGCCTATATAGGCAGTCGGGGCCGAACGAGAAAAGAAATTGTAGACATGCCATCCGTCCATCCGCCCGCACGGGGTAAACATCCCACAGCAGCAGCAACAGCAGCAACGCAGCGCGTAGCCGCCGAGCGTGAAGTGCGCGTTCCAGCCTTTAAACAAGATGCACAAACGCCGTCCAATTGTATCTCTTGTCGCCAGACAGGAGCACATCCACACTATAGGGCGATACAGCCGGATATCTTATATTTGAAATCGTCTTAAGCACAATTTGAGACGTACGAGTGGTTTCATCGGTCACAAAGTATCTTGATGATGAACTTGAGACTAGTTTCGAAGGATATGAAAAAAAAACTCGATCTCTCTTCAAATTTTCTTCAAATGGAATTTCATTATCAGGATTTGGTCTTCTTTAAGAAGAAAAGTAAAAAAATGTGCGGCAAGTTTTAACAGAACACGCGTGAATTTTCTAAGTCAATTTTTCTTACTATTAAGACAGAGACTGAAGAAATCCGCGGAAAAATGGGAAGGATCCACGGAAAAATGGGAAAAATACGGTTTTTTCCGAGTCTCTAAAATCATACTTGAGACGATCTTTAATATGGGATCTAAGGTAGTGATCTCCTCAGGGCGGAAACGTGAACATTTCCAAATGCTCTCAAATTCGAACATTTTCATTTTTCGCGAGTTAGAGGGCTATAGAGGACAAGATCCATGATCCCTTGGGAGTCGACTATGAATCTTTTCCTCTAGCATATGGTCTGTTTTTTTTTAGCTAAACTGGCTGCACTAGTTCAAGAAATTTATATGCACATTGAAACATATGAAGCGTACATTTTCATGTTTTAGTGTGCATAAATTTCTGGAACTGGTGCGGCCAATTCAGCTGAAAAGAACGGACCAATGATCCACGCGAAAAGTGGGAATGTACCAATTTGAAAGCATTTGGAAGTGTTCACTTTTCGCGTTTCTGCCCTAGCGAGAAGTTACGTGATCGCTGCCCTGAATATCGACCACGCAACTTTTCCTCCACGGTGGAAACGTGAAAAATAAAATATCTAAAATGTCGAATTAGAGGATTTACATTTTTCACGAATTTATATCGGAAGAGAAGATTCCTGATCAACACCCACGGGGTCATCTAACGTGAACTCGTAAAACGTCTCAAACCTTCTAACTCGAAGACATTTCACTTTACATTTTTCATATTTTCGCTCTGGGGGAAAAGTTACATGATCGACAGCCGGACTTCGAACACCGGCCATAGGAGCCTCGAGTCTCTCCCCGAGGCGCGAGCATTCGCTGCGTTACGCCTCGGCCCCGTCAGAAGCCCTGTCAGAAGTTGTTATTTCGCTGTCACATTGCGAGAGACGCGGCGGAGCTGGGTAACCCGGTGTGCTCGAACGCACGAATTCGCCTCTGGACCCCCCCTCGAGCGTCGCCTCTCTCATGTACCGCACTTACTGAAAGAGAAAAGGGGAGCAAGTAAATGCACCGGAGGGGAGACGGGAGGCGGATAGGGAAATGTTACGACATCGCATCGGTCGTCCGCGAAACGATACGCTCTCGTACGATACGACTGATAGAAATTCCAGTTGGCGCACCAGCTAGCTGGCTCGCTCATTCGCTTCGTGAAAAGTCAACGGAGTCGCTTTCCCGACCGAGGCATCTCGCGATGATCGTCATGATGATCGACGATATTACACGACGCGCAAGTCTTCGCTCGAAGCTGCGGTATGCGTCGTTGCAGCTATGAGAGAGATAGAAAGAGAAAGAGGTAAAAAAAAGAGAAAGAAGGAGGAGAGAAAGAGAGAGAGACTCTTTCAGCCTCGGCTTCGCAACTTCGCGAAGCTGATCGCGAACTGTATCGTCATTCGGGCGGCGCGCGCGAGTAGAACTTTCACGTCGTTCGCTCGCTCACTCACTCGCCCGGCCTCTCTCTCTCTCTCTCTCTTTCTCTCGCTCGCTCATTCCTTCGACCGATCGTTCTCCTTCCTCGCGCGAAGGAATGTATCGTACATAAGCAAATGTCGCGCCCGCGCTTGTCGATGAACTCGACGACGACGTTCACCGCGCGGCCGAGACGGCACTTTCCGGCGAATGCACCTGGACGTCTCTCGCGGGTATGCACGCGGACGGCACACTTTGTTTATACTCGCGTGACAGGTACCCCTGGCTGATCGCGCGAGTCCACAACTCTCCGGGGAAGAGAGCGCGTCTCGCTGCTACTTGTCGGAGATCGAGTCGCCGCGCATACCTCGCGACTTCTCCCCCGCACGCCAGCGAGGTCGTCGTCGAGCGGACCCCCCTCCCGGATCTCCGTCCGGAACCCCGCTTCCTCTCTCTCTTTTTCTCTCGCTATTCGCGGTGCATCGCGCGCGTTCTCTCTCTCCCTCTCTCCCTCTCACTCCATATGTCGCGCTCCTGGACGCGATCCCGCGGGTTTGCCTACGTACCTCTCGGCTGACAGCGTCCGGCTGGCGACCCCGGCGGCGCCGTGTGACCGCCCGCACCACCTTCAATATGGTTCACAGACTGGCTCGAGGGCACTCGACGCGCTCGTCGACGCGCTCTCTCCTATCCATAATCGGCGAAAGTCGCACTCGCTGACTCGCTCCTCCGCGTCTCCCCGCGGCGGACAGTCCGTCAGTTGTATTCGCTCGACGACACTGCGGAAAACACTATCATCGGCGACGGATGTGACCGAGATTACCACCCGGGTGACGCGCGGCAGCGGATGGATCTCGTTCGTCGTCTCGCGCTCTCCACGAATCCCCCGCTCGCGACGCGACGAGCTCTGCGCGCACTTGCGAACTACGCGCTCGCGAGCGGGCAAAACGGACGAGAGCGCCGAGGGGATCGGGGGGGGGAGGGGAAATGCGCGAGCGAGCGCGGGGCGCCTCGTTATAAAACGCGCGAGCCGCGCGCCTTTATTCGGCCGTGCCCGCTCGAACCTCCTTTGCGCGACGTGCGGCAACCGTGCCGCTCGCTCCGCCGCCGAGCGTTTTGAACCGCCGCGGATAGGCCTCACTTCGCGCCGCGAGTGAGAACCGCAGGACGTTCACCATTTTGGTGATTCGCGCGCGCATGCGCCGCGCTAACCCCCTGCTTTTGCTCACCCGCCTGCCCACCTTCACCGGTGACGTCAAAAATAGGACAAGGAGCTGGTGGCCTTTGCTAAGTTGCGGCCGAAAGGGAGACAGAGAGAAAGAGAGGGGGGGGGGGGG